TTTCAAGAAATATAGGAATCAAAAAAATAATTTTGTAATACAACATTTTAAAAAATCAGAATTAATGCCAAAAACCCATGAGGAACAAACTATCAAAATATTAATTAAAGACAGTATCCAATCCTGTGCTTGCAAAGACCCTGCCTCTCTTGCTTCTCCCTAACCCTGGTTATTGTGCAGCCTGACACTGCAGAGGAGACATGTTATGTGTAAGGGTGCTCTGCACAGTGTGTGTGTTTGCAGGGCAAAGTGTGTGACCTGGTATACCCGCATGTTAGTGACCTAAGCTTCTACTAGACATAAATCCAGAAAACGCCTTTGTGTTCCATATTGAAAGTACTTATCTACACTAATAAAAGAGAAAGATGCAAATTGACTGTACCTTTGTGACACCCACCAGCCAATCCGGAGTGAGTATGCAAATTAACCCAACAACGATGGTGGGTTAATTTTCATACGCAGGTGCCGAGCGGCTGGGGGCGGTGCAGAACTCTGGGCAGCGTGGGAAGGCAGAAAGGCAGCTCCAGCCCAAGCTAAGGCGGTGCCAGCAGCCAGGCGAAGGAAGGCCCATTCTTGCATGAATCTTCATTCATTGGGCCTCTAGTATCTATTATATTTCTGAGAGTAATAGTAGCAAAGGTGGCTACATTTTGTTGAGTGCTTACTATGTGACAGCTGCTCTGTGAGGCACTGTATATAAAGTAATGGTCTCTTTTAATGCTCGCAATAACCCTATGAAGTAGGGACCGGTATTCACCCTGAGAGGAAAGCGAGTCAGAAAGTCAAGTCGCTTGCTTGAGCTTACCCAGCCAACAGGGGGCAACCCAAGACGAAGCTGTAACTTACCCACTCAGGGTTTGAATCTAGATCAGCATACTTAAAAATGTGCTTCATGCCTCCAGAATGGTTTAGTCGGTTTGGGTGATGGCCTATCAGAATTGCATTGCTAAGAGCTAGCCATGTGTCCTTTAAGACTTATGCTTGCCATTCCAGAGATACGCATTAGGAATCATTTCCCCCTGCACCACACGGCTTTCCCCAGTGCCTGCTCTGCTTCCCCCCTTGTTTCCTGGTGTTTGTTGGGAGGAAGGAGAGAGAGTGAGAGGAGAGGGGGAAGATGATGACAATGGTGATGGTGGTGGTGGCAATGGTGGCAGCATTTACTGAGGCCTTTATCACATGCCAGGTACTGTGATGATGGTTTTACGCACGTGACTTCATTTAGTCATCAAAAAGGCTAGGAAAGACTGGTTAATCCCCATTTTTTGGTCAGAAAAGTGAGTCTCTGAGAATGTAAGTAACTTGTCCAAGGTCACAAACTCAGGCAAGAGACAGGTAAGGTCTGCGCTCTTACTGCCCACATTGTAGGATGGAAGGAAGGATAAAGAGCTAAATGGCACTGTATTAGATCAGCCTCCAGCTCGTCTTCGAGCCCTCAGAAGTGGTTGCTGCTCCTGGAGCAGTCCCCAACTTTCCCAGGGCCCGGTTGTCCTGCAGGCCACAGCTATGACTGGCGTCCTTTCTGGTTCCAACTACCAAACCCTTCCAGGATATCCCCAGAGGGCATACTGTACAGCTGCCGAGGGTGCTGGGATTTTATTTCTCCAGTGCTTTTTTAGGATAAAATAACCTTACTTAGGAAGTTTCCAATGAATATACCCAAGTTAAGAGCAGGCAGCAAAGGAGCCGCGATTATACTTAAATACTCAGTGCATGTCATCAGCTCACAATTTTTATTCCTAAGGATTTAGAGAACATTTTGCCAAAACTGTAGTGCCCAGGTGTTAGAATATCTCTGGAAAAGGCTTATCTGAACCACAGAGAAAACAAAATGGGAAGAACTAAAAATGTTGTATTAATTTCCTCTTCAGAAGAATCATAACAAATCTGCTATATTAGCATCAATCTCAACTAAAGCAAACCTGGCGAGTAAGCCCCATAAATTGCATGAGGAAGCACAGGAGCCACCCAGAGACCAGGAGCCGGCTGATCACTGTTTAACAACAGGCTTTCTGGGAGGGAGAATGCCCTGGTCTGTGCCGTTAGCCTATTTCCATGGTGTAAATATTCCCACCATGGCCTATTTCCTGCCTACCAAGGTGCTACCCTGGATGTGAAGCTGGGAAGAGATGCATGGGACTAGCTCTCCTGAAGAGCACACCATTGTTCTAGCCTCTCAGGGAGGAATGATCAGATGAGCCACTATTTCAGTCTGTGCTTAATCCTGGAGAATTGGACTCGCTCACTGTGTGACCTTGGGCCAGTTGCTTCACCTCTCTGGGCCTTTGTTTTCTCCTCTGCAAAGGATAATATGAAAGATCCCTTTCCCCTCTGCCATTTTAAAGTTCTAGAAGGCAGTGACTCCGGCTTTCTCCAACATCCAAATGCCTCTAAGCGCCTTTGCAGAAAACCAAGTTAGCGCCGTGCTGCGCCAAACGTGCCGCCAACTTCATCTCCTGAGCAGAAGGTTTGGAAGGAGCGACTTCTCCCTTTTGCCTCTTTAAATGTGTAGCCGATGGGGCATCATCCACTTTTTACACTTCTCTTGCTGGATGTGAGATCCAGGAGGAATGGATGTTCCAGGGCTTGCTTGCTCTCCTGGGGTGGGAATCTGTGCGTGTGATCCACGGAGCCGCTGCGCTCTGCGGGGCCGCCCCGCCACCCTTTCAGCAGCGGAGGGCGTCCTGATGGTGCTCTACCTTTGTGTGTGTTTATTTTTTACTCCCTCGAAGCCATTTACAAGAAGGGGAGCCACTCTTGTAAAACAGGGGTGGGGGTCGTTATTTTTTCCTGGAAGGTGGCACGTCTCTCAGCAAAGAGAAAAGGCATGTCGCCCAAGGCTTGCTGGCAGTGAGCGGAGCCAGCACCGCTTTGCCTGTTGTCACAGCCAAAGCAAAATGCCACCTCTGCCTGGAAGCCAGAGCGCCGCATTCCTCTTTGTGTCCCTGAGAGGCGCCATCATAAGGCCCTGGGCTTGCAGGTCTGGCCAGGAGGTCATCCGGGCCCCTTGAAGGTCATCTTTCATCCCCAGGAGCTGGGGGTGGAGGGTATAGACTAGAGAGGGATTGCTCATAACTCTCCAAATAGGTTATCCGAGTCCCCAGGTTGCATGTCAGAAACAGCCAGTAAATGTGGAATTTGAGGTTTGGGGTGAACACAAGAGCATCCCCAGTTGCCCAGAGTAAGGTCACGCCAGTGACCCAGTGACACCCCTGTCCCTGGGCCTCTTCTTAACAAACCCAAATCCAGTGACAGCACAGGCTCCAGATCCCAAGGCAGGAGGTGCCAAAAACACCCCAATAACCACTACCCCCCTGAAAAAAAGTTTCCGTAACATGTTCTCACTCCTAGAGGGGAAAACCTGTCCATGCCTGAAGCAGCCTGACCCGGCAAGTGCCCCTCCACGGAGGGGAGCGCAGATCTCAAGACAGAAACCCCCACCCCCGCCGCCTGCTCCCTGGGGAGGGACAGAAGGTGCCTCCCCCAACAGTGTCGCCTCCTGATCTTTAAAAGAGCAGAAGTTGGCGGCGAGGCTGCAGCGCTGCCTTGACTGGGGCGTGTGGTCTCTGATGGCGGCTGGGCTCCAAGGAGAGCGCAGTTGGCTCTGCCGAGGAAGGAGCCCAGACATAAAAGATCTGAGAGAGGCCGCTGAGCGCCATGGCTGAGACGCCGCCGCTTCTTGCAAGGTGAAACTTGGCAGCTCTCCCTCGCAAGTAAAAACCCAAATTAATTTTCTTTAAGAAAATTAAGTCAGAAACAAGGCTTGGGAAAAACTGTGAGTGTTAGGCATAAACTGATTTTGGATGATCTTTAGGTGAGAAAGGGTGGAGTTACCCTCAGAAACATGTTTTTATTTATGCTTTTCAGATCCCCACTGGTGTGCAGTGTATGTGCGTGTGTGTGTGCATATGTGTGTATGTGTGTTGGTTAGCATGAACGTGTGCATCGTCTCAATTCTCTAACCACTCTTCTTTTCTTTTTTTTTTACATCTTTTCTGTGCCCAGTTCATATAGATGCCCAATAAATAACTCCATAGGTCCATCCACACCTTTTCATTTTATTTGTAAATTGTTTGGTATAAGCGGCAATGCGTAATGAAACCTGGTGAAGTTTAAAAGATTAGATTTTTTTTCATACTGACACTTCATAACACTGTTCATATGTCTCCGAGTGAGATTTATGAATATATGAGCAGTGCTGCAGAATGAAACCGCACCAGAGACTTCCTGCTCCACAGGGGTGGCAGTCTAAAGTGACACAGCTTCAAGCATTTTTCACAGACAAGAAGCAAAATTTAACCCCCTTCAGGGGAAGTATGATTTCAACAGCTTGAAATGAGCTCATTTCTAGATGGTTTTTTTTCTCTCATCTTCCATAATTTTTTGGTGTTAAGATTAAAACAGATTGCACAGCCCATGTAAGGGCACGGAAGAGGCCCAGAGTATAATTTGGCCATTAAAGAGAAACCGTCTTTCATTGTCTTGATCCAAACACCTCAGCGAGGAAAATGAAAGTAAACTTGGTCCTAGATTTTTTTAAGGCTCTTAACCATGATTCTTGGAATTGTCCTTAGCAGACGAAGGCTGGATATTTCAAAAGGTAAGTAGTAAGTGGCATCAGTTAGCTCAGTGGAGAAGCCCTATCTCCTGGGCACCAAGACAATAGCATTAGGAAATAAACAGAGACTTGAGTCTCCAGTGAGTAAAACTGACCAACAAAACGGAGAATCAGAAGAGAAAGTGTGATCTATATGAATTGATCATACAGTACACGAGGTGTCTATAGTGGAGGGATTCTGTTTTACATTGAGCCCAGACCCATCTCTTTTAGTCTGGTCTGGTCCCTTGAGATTGTGTGTCAATGATTGTTCATGATCTCTATGCTCTCGAATCCTCTTTAACCATTTTGTTTCCCCTTGGAACGGAGTGGGGTGCCTGCCCCTCTCTGCTCTATAAACGCCCATGACGTGTCGCTGGAGAACTTTTGTCTCTCTTTTCAGCAATGGTACAACAGCTCCATGAGTGTGATCTGCACCTGGTTGACGGACCGGATGGACTTACAGCTTCACATTTATCAGTTGAAAACACTAATTAGGATGGTAAAGGTAAAAGAAAAGCATTCTTCTTCTTTGCAAATAGCTTACTGAAATGCGTTTCATTGGCAAACTGCAGAACTTCCTTAACACAAGGAATATGGGTTTACATTAAAACAAAATGATTTCCACAACAGTGTCTCATGCAAGAAAAACCTCTCAAGTTATTGTGGGGTGCATGGTTCATTTATTGCTCAGACGGCAAAGGAAAATTTAAGAGAAAAGAATTTGACATGTTTTCAAGGCTGCAAAAGTACTTTATGTATTTGCCATGTAAAAATACCACAGGGGCCTTCGCACCCTTTGCATTATACTTTCAAAAGCTGACTTTTGGTACCACCATGCTAATCACGTCAGTTACCAATTTTATTTATGGTTGAATTAAATACGTTTTTGCCACAATTGATTTAATAGAAATATTTACCTCCAGCTATTTCTAAAATATGTCCTGAGATCATTATCAGGATGCAAATCAATATTGTTCTGTCGTTAATTGAAGTAGTTTCTCTAACAATGCCTGCGTGCGACCCAATGGAAAGGCTCACAAAGGTGAGATCACATACCCTGAAAGTAGCTTTTCTCCTGTTCTTGCGTGTGTGCCTTGGACTAATGATAATTATTTCAGCGTGAAATCTCAGTGGTTTACATGAAATAATAAGATCACAGAAGGGGGTAAATACGTTTTTGATCATTTCAGTTTCCATTCGATGCTTCTCTGTAGCAGGTTTAAAAACAGTTGTATGCAAAAGTCTCATTCAAAGTCTCTTTCAAAATATGTTAGCAATAAAACGTAGCTGAATTTATATTGCTTAACAGTTTGCCAAAGGTCCCTCCACCCCTGCTACCCTCCCCCCTCCCCGATCCCCACCTCCTTTTCTTAGTGTCCTTCGGATTAGCACCATTTCACTGAGGTGCTCCTCTCCCCAGTGCGGACAAAACCAGCTACTGTTCTGTTGAGTGTAATTATTATCATCTGTACGTGATCTGGCAGTGTCCACCCAGGGGAGGTTACAGCAGTGCACTGCCGCTCTTAAAGAAGAATATGTCCACTCGACCTGTGCCCCAACAGAATTTTCACATTTTTAATTTCAGTTCCTTAAAGCAAATTCACTTAGCCATATTGTTTGACTACCTGAATTCCATTTTCTGGGTATACATTCTCTTTGGGGGAATTTCTGTTTGACCCTACTGAATAGACATGAAAAGGAGACATTAATTTTAATATTTTAAAATATCTCCCCACTACTAATATCTCCAGGTCTATGTTGGGAATGTTGGAATTAGCACTATTTTATTAAGGAAAAAAATACGTCAGAGAGGAGGTTTATTCTTAGCCTTCTGGAAAAAAAAAAAGACATGAACCATAGAGAAGGGACACAGAAACATCACTGTCAAAGGACCCCTTCACTTTTGTCAAAAGTGGGCCTGACCGCCCTTAACTAGAGCCTCAGTATGGGGGGGCGGGGATTCGCCTCCTCTTTACAAAGTACATTACCCAGAGTCTCCTTCTCCGAGGCAGACGTCAGAAGGTAACTGGCTTGCTTTCCCGCCTCTGTAGGTATCCACCCAGCCATTCATTATTCAGCAGCATTTCCTCATCCATCCAACATGGGACAAACATTAGTTGAACTTAGATAGTACAAGATGGAGGACTGAAAAGTACTGAGATGCAGTCCCTGCCCAGCTGGAGAACACACTGCTCTGGAATACGCATAAAAGGGAGAACACTCAAGTGCTTTCCACCTTTTAAAACAATTAAGTTATGCTAAGTGTCCGCAGGATAAATGAAAAGTACAAAACAAATCAGGTTAACTGCCTGGTACCTGGTACCTACATCTACCCAGCCTCCTGGCTTTGCCCCTCAAGGTGAAGATGGTTCAGGTAGCTACCTAGAGAGCTAGCATGTCCATCCACACTTAGGATGACCTTCTAACTTAGTGTCAGAACCAGGTCACTTTTCAGGGGGAAAGCAGGTGCTATGAAAAATCAGGCTGGGACAGCAGGTATAAGCTGGCCAAGTAGACATGGAGTCATCCTGTCAATCATCTTATATGATTGGCCTTTGCGAGCTGGATGCATTCGCTAGTTACCTGTGCAGTCATTACAACGCATGACCTTCAGGAGGGGTTGACACTGGGACCGGGACACTATGCCTGCTGTAGAGGGGTTTGCAGTGTGTCCCCGGTCCTTCGCTCGCTCCCGTAACAAGTTCCCCACGTCAGTAGGGAAGCAAACAGCAGACTCGCAGCTAAATGAGATGCAGTGTGACGGGAAGAGCTGTAGCTGGAGAGAGACTCTCTCAGTGCAATTCCCTACGAAGGAGACGACAGCCAGATGCTTCTGGTCATGTTCAATTAACGCTAAGGGATTTCTAGAAAAACAGTCCGTGGGCTACCTAAGGAAATCCGAGAGAAATTGCCTGGAGGAACAAAGAAAGAGTCTGTGGTACAGTAATCCCAAACCAGTCATCTTGAAAGGGGGCCAGATTTCTTCCCTGAGACCCTGAAGTTGTGAGCGGAGGAGACGTGCTTCTTTCCCAAGGAGACGAGACACGAGTCACATGCCTGCAACATGCGGGCGAGGCTCTAGCGCTCCGTCTCCCGCAATCCTTGCTGCGCCTAATAGGCTTCCCACACCACATGCATATGTCTGTCTTGTGAGCGAGACAGAGGGCCATGCAGTTACGAGCCTCAAAAATACTAAAGACCAGACTGCAACACGAATCGCAAAATACCATAATCACTCGATCCATAATTTATATGCTAATAGACCCTTACACTGTCTCTCATATCCTATTATAATACCGTAAGAGAAAGAACCAGACCCCCCCCCCAAAAAAAAAAAAAAGAAAAAAAAGGAACCAAAACAATTCTGGAACATTTCCCTTTATGGAACTGAATAAACACAAGCTTATGTTCTTTGCTTTGTCTCATCTAATACAGTGTATCCTGTCACAGTGTCTCATTTTCTGTCACTCAACAAGTCTGTTTCGGTGCCAGTGCAATCTGAGCGTGGTGGCTTTTCATTTGACCATGCGTGAAGTGTGACTGCGGCTGACGGCCAGTGTTCTCACACCCCACCTGCTCTGTCCTGTCCCTCCCCTCCCTTATCCCTGCATGTCTTCCTCCCTAGAAAACCTACAGGGACTTCCGATTGCAAGGGGTCCTGGACTCGACCTTGAACAGCAAGACGTATGAAACCATCCGGAACCGTCTCACTGTGGAGGAAGCCACGGCGTCAGTGAGCGAGGGCGGCGGCCTGCAGGGCATCAGCATGAAGGACAGCGACGAGGAGGACGAAGAGGACGATTAGAAGGCCCGGGCCTGGACCCTGTAACCAATGCATGTCCTTAGTCTGTTAGTTACCCCCTTAGGGAATTTTCTGTCCCCCACCACGCCCATGAGATGTTTACCAATACAATTGCCATTTTAGCTCTGTGGTATCAAGATTAGCAAATGACCTTCAAGCCCCCCCATATCCTGACCCACGACTATATGTTTACAGCGATCTGGAGCACCATTCTTTAAGTCCTGTTCATGGAGAACACGTAGTCCCACTGCTAGGCGTGTCCCTTTGCCAGCAAAGTCAAATGATGCTTCATTAACGTACCGTGTATGCGTTGACAGTGAATGGATGTGAGGGCCAGTTCACCCCGTACTTTCACTTTGTTTCACGTATGTGGATGTCAGTTATTTAAATGAGTATAATAAATATTTAATTAAGACACATAGTTCCGCTTTGTTTTTTGAGAAACAAGAGGCAATGCTCCAACAACCAACGTCTGGTTCTCTCTGTTCCCTTCAAGCTAAACAATGAACCCCTGGTGACCTTGTTACCACCCTTTCATTTCTCCTTATAGTTAGCCAAAACAGGATGGCTACGTACCTGTAGGTTGATCCTCCTCATTGCCATGGCAAAGGTTATCCTACCGAGACTCCCCATCAAGCACAGTTCAGAGCAACTGTCTTCTGTCCAACTTTATCCTATTACATGTTACATTATGCTTTTCTGTTTCAATAACCGTGTATGTAAAAAACTGAGTATTTAAATTACAACCCTAGACTATACCTGTGTTTATAATAAGATATGGGTATTTCCCTCAGTAGACTGTAACCATGATTTCAATGGTTTGGTTCCACCTGTTTTTTATATCTGTCATGTACATTGCATTTTGACCTGTAACTGCACGGCCCTGGGGTCCGCTGCAGAGCTCTCTCTTTCTGTGTAAACTAGTGGATCCATCCTGCTTTTGCCTTATATAAAGCCTACAGTTATGAAAGTGTGAACAACTGTGGCTTCTCAATAAAGAACTATTCAAACGTCCGAAGAATAAACTTGTGAGTCTTTTTTCCTCTGTCTCCTGGAGTCAGAACTGAAACACGGGAAGCGGTGGGGACGGGAGGGAGGAGTGGTTTTCTTAGCGCGCTCTCGCACCTGCTGGACTGGGTCGTTTTCTGAGCTCGTCTGCACGAGGGACAGCCGGAAACTTGGTGGATTCAGCCTCCACTGATGCAGAGTCTGCGGGCATTTGGACATGTTGGGCAGATTACACTTGCATTATAGGATAAATAAGGGTTTGCTAAGCAAGGGAGTCGTGTAAACGAGAGAAATGTTTCTCCTGTGCGCAGAGAAGGCCAACAAACTGTTTTTAAGCACCACTTTAACAGCAGTGTTTGCATTCAAACAAAGCGTGTGCCAATTATATATGATTCTTATATATTTGTTACAGCATTTTACAGGATTCTCTACGATGTGGAGCACGTCTCTCTTTCCCCAGCCTTGTCAGCAATGTAATCACCTGGGTCTGAAAGAAACCAAGGCAGCGTTGCCTGGTCTCTTTCATCTGTGATTGTCCCTAAATCAGGCTGACCTTGCCTGGGGCTGACCGAGGTTTAGGCGAAATGACCACTTTTCCAATAGGACCAGGCACAGTGCTCACCACTTGCTCTCGACAAACCAACCCCTCTGAATAGCACCTCCCACTCTTGTTTAATCCTCGACGTCTGCAGGTGCAAATCACAGTACTCCTTGCCCTTGGTGGGATTATAAGAATAACTCTCACTTATTGAGCAGCTCTTCTATGTCAGGCAATCTGCATATATTACCTCATTTAAATATCACAACAAACTTGAGAGGAGAGGACTGTTATTATCCTGCTTGTAAATGAGAACATTGTAATGAGAAAGGTTAAGGTAACTTGCCCAACCTTGGCCCAACTCCCTGTAGAAACGTGAATCCAGAGGACCTGGTGCTACGAGAGGTGGGATGCATCATTCAGGTGGGAACAATCTTTGCCCAATGGCACCACGTTAAGTCAGTGTGACAACATTTTTATCAAGTTAGTTGTATTATGTTCTGAGTTGCAAATTAAAGCATATTTCCTGCAACAATGACAAACAATTAAAAAAATGTGCAAGTAAAGAGGAAGCATCTGCCTACTGTATGAAAGTGGAAAAGAAAAAATGCTCAGGAACTCTGGGAGAGAGCAAACTGAGCAAGTCAGATAACTAGCCAAAGACACGATCCAGGAGGCGTAAAGAGACGCAAGTCATAAAGACCGTCTCTAAAACCAAGGTTAAAACATTTCCTTCAACAGGAGACTTCCTCACAGCCTCCCAGTGAGGGGCGTGGTGAGTAGTGGTCCCGGAAGGGGGCTGTGGGGAGGACGTGGCATCAGAAGAGATCAGAGAGGAAGGACTGGCCAAGGTTAAGTCACGATTATCCTAGACACTCAAAGCTGAGAAGGAGGCAGTGTTGGTATCCTGATCTTTCTTTTTTTTTTATTCCTTCGGGACAAAATCTTAAGTTTTCTGTTCTTTGCTTTTCATTATTTTTTATTAAAATATAAGACATACAGAAGAGTGCACAGATCTTAAGTGTACAGCTCAGTGATTTACCACAAACAGAACACACTCATGGAACACCACCAGGTCATAAACAGAAGGTAATGGACACCCCCAGGCATACCGATGCCCAGGCCCTTTCCCCATCTCTAGCCCCTCCTTACTCTCCAGGGGTAACCACCATCCTGATTTCCAGTTGCATTCGTTGAATTGAACCCTTACATCATTAGAATCACAGCATATATTCTCTAGCATCTGTTTTCTTTTAGCTCTACATTAGATTGTTGGTGTAGCTGTGGTTCATTTCTTTTCACTACTCTATATTCCAAAGTATGACATTACCACAAGTTTATTTATTCATGTGAAAGTGTGTTGTTGTTTTTTAGTTTGGGGTTATTAGGAATAATGCTGCCACGAATTGCATTGCACATGTCCTTTGATGCAATTGCCTGGTGATGGGTAAAGGCATGTTCATTTTTAGGAGACACTGCCAGTTTTCCATGGAGGTGAATAGAGTTATACTCTCACCAGCATGGAAGCAACGTCCTGGCAACACTAGGTATTGCCACTCTTTTTAATTTTTATCATCTTGGTAAGTGGTGTAGTGGTGTATAATTGTAGTTCACTTGATTATAAAAATGGAGTCCATACATATGCTTTATAACATATGTATGGGCAGTGGGTAGTCTCTCTTGGGAAACTCGTGTTTCTTCCCCCCCCCTTTTTTTATTTTAGAGAGAGGAAGGTAGAGGGTGAAAGAGAGATACAAACATTGATCATTTGCCTCCCGTATGCACCCTGACTGGGGATCAAACCCTCCACGTAGGCATGTGCCCTGACTGGGAATCGAATCCTCAACCCTTCGGTGCACAGTGAGGCATAGAGGTGTTGATGGAAATGTTAACCTGATGGAAAAGCATTCACTGTATAACAATCAGGGCACATACTAATCAGCACTGCCAGAAACAGCCAGGCTCTCAACCTTCCTAATACCGACCCTTTAATCCTTCCTCATGTTGTGGTGACCCCCAATTTCATTGTTACAAATTGAACATGATTAAAGCATAGTGATTAATCACAAAAACAATATGTAATTATATATGTGTTTTCCGATGGTCTTAGGTGACCCCTGTGAAAGGGTCGGGACCCACAGGTTGAGAACCGCTGCGTCTAACCCCTCTCTCTCATCAGCCAGCAGGACCTTTCTAAAAGGCAAGTGCCACCTGTCCCTCCTTCAGTTGAAAGCATCCAGTGGCTCCCCTCACTCATAGAATGAATCCTAAGGTCACTAAGGTGGTGTGCACGGCCATGCCCACCCCTCCAGCTTCCTCTGTTAACGCTGCTCCTCTCACTCTGGGTGTCAGCATCCGCCACCATCTTTCACTTCCTCCTGTGCACCATGGTTCTTCCCACCTGGGACCCTCCCCCTCAGCACCTCATCTCATCCTTCAAATCCAGCTAAATTTGGCTTCCCCAGAAAGCCTTTCCAAACCCCACCCTCAAGTCTGTGTCCATTTCCCTGGCAAACACCCTAACACTCTACTTCTCTCTCTGCGTTTCCATCACACTCTTCATGCCTGGGTATTTGCAGAATTGCGTGTTTCATGCAGCATTTCTCTGACTCAGGAAGGTGTGGCCTGTACCAGTTCCCCTACTCTACCTTCATTGCATTTACTAAATCTACGACTAATAAGTGAAATCTACACGTACAAAACTATAGATGATCTGATTACTATTCTCTTAGAACCTTTAGTCTACAGTGGTTGGCAAACTCATTAGTCAACAGAGCCAAATATCAACAGTACTTCTTCAAAATAGACTCACCCAGGCCGAAAACTAACTTCTGCGCATGGGCCACGAAGTTTCAATCGCACTGTACGTGAGCCCGCACGTGGTATTTTGTGGAAGAGTCCCACTCAAGGGGCCAAAGAGCCGCATGTGGCTCATGAGCCGCGGTTTGCCGACCACGGGTCTAGGTAATATGAATCTTCAAAGGATTCAAGTAGATTAACTACTAGAAGATTCAGAGCGGGGAGAAGGAAGGACGGCTTCTAGCAGAGGCGGGCCTTGCAGAGCACAGAGAGAGGACAGGAAAGGGTGTAAACGAAAGCAGAGAGCTGAGGGGATGTGCCCCTTGGCTGAAGCTGTTTTCTTCTTTGATGCATTCCCAGTGCAGCTAGTAAACGCTCAACAAGTACATGTTGACTTAAGAGGGCAATGACTGCTCAGGGTGCTAGAGAAGGTTTGTGCAGGGCGTCGGGAAAGACTAGGGTGGGGAAGGTGAGTTCAGGTTTCAAAGGAGGACATTTAGTTTCACCGAGTTTGGGTTTGTCTGTCTGAATAACAGAGCTAACCAGGATTTTTATTTTTTCAAAATATTTAGAGACATTTTTTAAGTTTAAAAAATCAAATAGAGAAGAATTATATGAAACAAAAAGTTGAAGCCTCTTCCTTCCCCAACCCATTTCCCCAAAGTAGCCATTGCTAACAGATGGGCACATATTCTTCCACATATGTTCAAATCACATACAAGTATATTGAGAATATATATATATATATATATATATATATATATATATCCACCATCCAATATCCAGTTGGATATACTTATATATTTTATGTATTTATATTTTTAAATGTATTTTCACAAATGGGATTCATCCTCAGCCCACTAAGGCAAATCAAATTTTTCATTTATCAAGGTAAAATTATTTTCATGTCTGCACATATAGATTTCCCATATTACTTTTCATGGTTGTGCCATATTTAGGGAGATTTTCTGGCCAAAGAAGAAATAAGAACAAAGTAAGGCAAATTGAAAATCCAGGAAGAAATGTAGGATGGATTGAAACACAATGGAGGAAATGGCCATCTGTGGAAGTG